TCACTAAGACCCCGAAGTAGAGAGGGGTCTTTTCCGGGGATTGTGGGGAAAAAACCCGGAAGCCTCAGAGCTAAGCCCTGGGGGAACCCTGTTTTTCTTTTCAAGCCCTTTTCCGGAAAATCGACGACAACCCTTGGTTTTAAGGGTGGAGAGGTGACGGGAGAGGGAGAGGGAGAGGAATGCGCCTCGAGCGCAGCGAGATCGAGTGGAAGGCGTGCGGCTCGACCTGCTCGCGCGCGAGCGTCTCGCGGACCTAATCTCGGGCGATCTCGGGTGATCTCTGCCGATCTCGGGTGATCTCGGGCGATCTCGGGTGATCTCCGTGTGCGGCGAGAGCAATGTGAGGGTGTGTCGGTGGCGGTGGCGGTGGCGAGGGTGGCGGAGGGAAGGAGGAGGCGGCGGCGGCGGGGGGAGCGGGCGCGCGGCACCGGTGGCGTCAGCGATCGGCTCGTGCACGTCGCATGGACGACGCGCACCCGCCTCGGCCGCGCCGCCTCCGGCCGCACCTCCCAGCAACGCGCATCTCCGTAGCCCGACACTCTCTCGAGCGCAGCCGCTGGTGACACGACCGCCGGCCGCCCACCCCGCCTACGGGAAAGGCGCGGGCGGCGTCGGGCGGCTTGGTGGCAGTGGGCCGGGCGATGGGCGGCAGCGCCGTGTGTGGCGGTGCGCGCAGGCGAGCGCGCCGGCGTGGGCGTCGGCGAGCGGCCCGCGGGCTGTGCGCCGAGGCACCGGCCGCGGTACGCTGGATGGGGCACGCGAGCCGGGGCAGACGGGGGACGGGGCAGCGACGCACTTCACGGCCTGAGACCCGAAGTGAGTTTGAGAGGCCGGCGCCCCAAAAGAATTTTTGCGCCTTGTTTGGTGTGTCCGTTTTATTGAAGGTTGCAGCGAGAAGCGGCGAGAGACTGCGAAAAGAGATACAAAGAGGCAGACTCCCCAGGGTGGGCGACGGCTAGCGCATCACACTCCTCTCCTTAAAAAATCCCTGTGTGGTGGCGGCGTGCCGTTCTCCCATCCCTCCCTTGGGTTGTCTGTTTTCTTTCTTTCTTTCTTTGTCCGTTTTATTTATTTATTTATGCTTCGCGAGGACGCAGTCCACGCCTGATTGGCTGCCTCCGAACGGTCTGGGCGCGGCACCCGCCCACCATGCCTCTGGGGCGGCACCGCGCGGGGCGGTGGGAGAGCCCTCCCTGGCGTCTGGCAAGACAGTGCTTTCTTCATTCATTCACATCCTCCTCTTCCTCATACCTGTGAACAAAGCGCCGTAGCACGCCACTACGTCACGTCGCGTGCTGTGCATAGGCGCTATTTCACGTTCGCGCTCTCGTGGTGCGCAGCAAAACTGACCCTAGGGATTCCCGCTCGGGGGTATACCGGAACTGATCGTGAAAACTCGCGATCCGAATTGGTTTCTCGTAAGAGTCCCTCTGAGCATAACTCATACGAGTAACAGTCCCTCTGAAGTTTGCGCCCGCAGGCGCCTCTTTTTGCTCGCCAGCCCTCCGCTCAACGGCCGTCGCGCCTCGTCGTCCTGCCTTGCCGTCGCTGGGCGACTCGGAGCGCGATCGCCGCTCACGGTCCCAGCCCCGGCCGTCTTCGCCCTGGCTCCGCGGCGTCGCGCTCGACCTTCCTCCCTACCAGCTGGTCGGCGCCCCGAGAGCCCGCACCTGAGAGCTCGCTGCTCGGGCGGAGCAGACCTCGAACGAGCGCGAGGCGGCCGTCGAGGCGGAGCATGTGCGGCCGCGCGTGTACGCCCCGTACACGCGCGGCCGCACGTGCGCTGACCGGTGCGGGAAGTCGGCTGGCTGCCTGGCCGGCTCGGCCGTTTAAATTCCTCTCGCACTCGGCGGCTGCCAAGCGAGCTCAAAGTGCAGATTGGCACGTCGCTCGTGGCCGGAGCGCGTCGCCACGGAGGCGCAGTTGGCCACCGGCGCGAGCTCAGCGACCCAGGCATTCGCGCTCGGCTAGCAGGCGCCGCCCTGCAGAGCGAGCGCGCTAACTCCCATATATTGCGCGGAGATACACGCGAGAACCGGAATCGCGCCTCGAAATGACGTACGTCCTAGGACGGCCGACTATGAAAATGAAACTAAACGGCGCGACGGTGCCGAAAGGGGTTTTCACGGTTAACGTGTGAATGAAGAGCGCCGTTCACGTTCGGAGCTATGAACAGGTTCGACGGATCACGAGGCCGCGTTTACAGCGTGCGGGGGGCGCGTGCTACTCCCCACGCCTTTAATGCAGCGCGGGCGCTGCGAGAGTAGCGCGACGGCGCCGCACTCGCTTCCCGTTAGAGGCGCTGTTCACACTTGAGACTCTGTGAACAGGGAAGCGATTGTTCGCCGAATCACGCGTGCGACGGGCGACTGTGCTGGAGCAAGCGGCTACGCACCGTTCGCGCGATGACGACGTCTCGCATGTTGTGGGGCCTCGTCGGCCGCCGCATTGAGGGGACGGATGCAGTGCTCATCGAGCCGACGGCCTCGCCGCCGTGACGATCAGAGCAGGGCGGTGGCGCCCTACCCCGAACCAACATGCCCGCTAGAGCAACCGGCTACGCGCCGCTCGCGCCAGAGCGTGCGACGACGGCGTCTCACGTTGTGGGCCTTTTGTGTCGTTCACGGCAATGAGCAGGCGATGCGTCCTAAGTACCCATCAAGCTGAGGGCCCCGCCGCGACGAATAGAGGGCGAGAGCGTAGTGCTGGGTCCCAGCCCGAACCACCCTGGGTTACTTTTTTTCACACCACGTGCCTCTGGACCGCCGTTCTTGAAAAAGTGGGTGGGTGGGTAAACGCTTCGTAGGCCCCGGATGGTGAGTGGGTGGGTGGGTGGTGGGTGGGTGGGTGGGTGGGTGGGTTTGTCGTTTCTCTCTCCCTTCGCGCGCGTCTTCCTTCGAGGCACAGCTCTCGTCGTTGCCACAGCATGTCGTTCCTCGCACCGTGCCCACGGCACAAGCTGACCGAGATCGCGCTCCCCGACGGCTGCCGCGTGCCTTACGGGGGCGGCTTACGGCGCGCTCAACAAGTGTCAAGTCATCCGAGGGCGGACTGCTGTTACGCTCGACGAGTACGACGCCGCTCCAGCAGCTCGAGGGGTTCAAACGCGAGGCGACCATCGTCTCCGCCGAGCTCGACGACGAGGCGGCCGTTATTATCTCCTGTCCTCGGGAGGGGGCGGCGGCGGCCCGGTGCAGAGTCGGAGGCGCGCTCCCGATGACAAATGCTCGCCTCACAGTCAAACACGGCTGCTCACACGCCCAGCCGTGCTCTGGTGCGTCGCTTGGGACGCCTCTGCCGCCGAGATGTCGAGGCCGGGGCGCACTCTTCAAGATATTGCGAGCAGCAAAGGCTGGCTCCTTCAGGCTGCCTGGGGTACACATTAAGCAGCCCCGGACGGCCAGGGCCGCGGCTTGTGCGTCGCTCGCGATTACTCCCACGGCGTGGTCGTTCAAGGTGCAAGTCCGGAGCGACCATCCCTACCCTCCCGGCTTGTTGCGCTCGTTGCATGGCACCTTCCCCGATGACTCGGCCCCATTTCCGCATGAGCTCTTGAAGCCAGAGGCAGCGCCTGCGGCCGCACAAGCAGCTGCCCCCGCCTCCAAGCGCGCCGCGAGGCCAGGCGCAGCCGCCAAGCAAAAGCCCGCCGCGAAGCCGGCCCGCGCCATAGCCAAGGGCAACCCCGCCGCGGCTTCAAAGGCTTCTAAGTCCAAGGGCGGCCGCTCGTACCAACCAAAGGGCAGGCAGCGGCGATGCAGCGATGGCAAGTGCAACTTTCAGCCGATTAGCGGGGCTTCGGCAGAGGACCGGCGGAAAAACTTCAAGTGCCAGCACTGCAAGCTGCAGCCGAAGAATCACAAGGATGTTCCGAAGAAGTTTGTGGTCGACCGGTGCGGACCGGGCGTCTGCCGCCAACATCTGAACAGTGATGGAACGTGCACGATTTGCAAGCGGAAGCCACAATGATTGGGACAGCAACGGTGGGGCCCATTCCTAGCCACCCCAGGGTCAGGCTTGTGCGAAGCGGCGAGACTAGCTGCGGCTAGGGTTAGAGGGAGATGTACGCGGTGAGACCATCCCCTTGGATCCAACTGTAGGACGACTGGGTCAAGCGGAAGCCACAATGGTTGGACCAGAACGGTGGGGTCCATTCCCGGCCCAGGGCTAGGGCAAGGGTTAGGGCTAGGGCTAGGGCTAGCTTCGAGGGCTAGCTAGGGTTGAGAGATTGCCCGGGGAGCCCGGCTAGGGTTAGGGCCGAGCGGGACTAGGGTTACACGGAACCTTCCGGTCAGAGATGAGTGGCGAGACAGGTAAGGGTTAGGGTTAGGGCTAGGGCTAGGGCTAGGGCTAGCATCCACAGCTA